ATAGGCACAAGGGGATACACTGTAATTGATTATATATTAGTCAATGACGAAATATGGGAAAAGGATATAAATTTTGAAATCCATGAACGTGTAGAATCAGACCACTTACCACTAATTTTAGAAATAAAAGGAGAAAATATATTAGAAAAAAGTCAAAAAATAGAAAGAGAACCTGAAGCAACAAAAAAAGTTATTATTTGGAACGACGAGACAATTGCATATTTTAAAACTAAAACAAGGGAGCTGTGTAATCAAATAGAAGAAAAAAAGGAGGATAGTGTTGAAACTAGATGGAAAGATACTAAAGAAATTATTGAAAAATCATGGACAAAGGTAGAAAAAAAGATTATAAAAAAAAGAAAACTAGGTTATAAAACGTGGTGGAATAAAGACTGTTCAAAACTAAAAAATAAAGCAAAAAGAGAATATGGAAAATGGAAATTAGGTAAAGTAGAAAAAGAAAATTATCTAGAGGCAAGGAAACTCTGGAAATTAAAATGCAAGGAAAGAGAACTTGAATGGAAGGATGAGCAATTAAACGAACTGAAAAACTTGAAAAGAGAAGGTCAAGTATGGGAATACATAGGTAAATTTAGGAAGAAGAATAGAAAGGGTATGGGTAAAAACGAAATTACATTAGAACAATGGAAACATCATTTTGAAAAGCTTTTAAAAGGGTCTAATAATAGAATTTTAGGTGAAAAGCGAATTTTAGAATCTGAAATTACTGATAGGGAAAGAATCACGGCTACAGAAATAAAACTGGCATGGAAAAACTTAAAGAAAAAAAAGACACCGGGATGGGACGATATACCACACGAGGTATGGATACACGGGAGTGATGAAATAAGAAACAAATTAGTAGCGATAATCGGAAAGATCTAGGACGGGGAAGAGATACCGGAAGATTGGAAAACGGGAGTTATAGTTACGATATATAAGAACGGTGATGCCAATGATACCGATAACTACAGAGGATTAACCTTGTTACCGACAGCGTATAAATTATACGCAGAAGTAATTAGGAAAAGACTTGTTGATGAAGTAGAAGAAAAAAAATTATTACCAGAATGTCAAGCCGGATTCAGGAAAGGAAGATCGACCTTAGACAACATATTTGTATTAGACCATCTAATTAGGAGATCGAAAAAGAAAAAACAAAAGTTATACGCCTTATTCATAGATCTAAAGAAGGCTTTCGATACGATTAATAGGAAAAAGCTATGGGAGATTTTAGAAAAAATAGGAATTAGTCAATATCTGATTGAAAGGCTGAAGGGAATGTACGAAGAAACTAAAGCTAGAATTAGAACTGATAAAGGCTTTACCGAAGACCTTTGGATAGGTCTTGGGTTGAGACAAGGTTGTGTGTTGAGCCCAATATTATTTTGTTTATACATAAGTGAACTTGAAAATGAATTTAGAAAAAGAAACATAGGGGAATAAAAATAGGTAATATTAGGATTTGGAGCCTGGATTATGCTGATGATTTAGTATTATTAGCCTTGAATAGGGAAGCACTTTTGGATATGATGGACACGCTTAAAAGGGTTTTGAAAATAAGAGACTTGATATTGAGTACAGAGAAAAGCAAAATTTTAGTTTTTAACAAAAAGACAAATGAAAAAAAAGAAAGCTGGAAATATGAAGGAAGTGACATGGAAGAGGTTAAGAAATTCAAGTACCTAGGTTTTATATTCAACTCAGAAGGAAACTACAGAGATCACATAAAAGAACTAAAAAAGAAGGGGGATGGCAGCAGTTAAAGAAGTATGGGGATTAGGAGAAAGAGCATTCAAAAATGACATTAATAGGAGAACGTTGTTATTTAATTATTTAGTAAGAAGCGTAATGGAATATGGGGTGGAAATTTGGGGATGGGAAGAGAGAAAAGAATTAGAAGAAATTCTGTTGACATATTGGAGATGGACATTAGGCTTAGATTTTTACACGGCGAGATATTTGATTTACAGAGAAAGCAATAGTGAAAAAATGAAGGGAAGGTTTGCCATTAGGGCACTGAAATTTGAAACAAGAATAAGAGAAGAAGAGGAAAATAGACTAATAAAAATGTGCTGGAACGAAAAAAGAGAATTCGGACTAGAAGACGAATATATGAAAGAAAAAGAAAATTATTTAAATAGCATAGGATTAAGTACAATAGTAATAGAAAGCATGACAAGTCAAGAAGAAGTACACGAAGAGATTCTAAAGAGAGAGATAAATATACAAGGGCAATTCATAACTAATAAAATATATAGGTCGAGATATAATGAAAGATATAAAGAGATAATGATTAGTGGTAAACCAGAATACTTGACTAAGGGATACAGAAACTACAAAGAAATTGCAAGACTGAGATGTGGAAATTTAGAAAATGCAAATAAGTACTGGGAGACCGAAGAGAAAAAAATATGTGACCTGTGTGGAAAAGAAAAAAGCACATTAAAACACCTAATTGAAAATTGCGAGGTAACGAAAAATTGGGAAATGGGTACACGAAAAATTGAATTTAAAGATATAGAAAAAATCTGGGAAGGAAAAAATAGCGATGTGGTAGTAAAATGGATTAGAAAGTTGGAAAAAGAATGCAGGTATAAACGAGGTATAAATTTAGAAAACGAATAAAAAATCACACAAATGTTAGGATAATGTAATGCCTTTTAGCACCAGAGGCAAAATATGTAGAAATGGCATGTAAAATATTTAAAAATGTATAAATATCTATGTAATATATGGGAAATATATGTGAAATATGAAAAATATGTAGAAATATGTAGTAATGTGTAAAAATATGTAAAAATATGTAAAAATATGTAAATATATGTAAAAATATGTAAAAATATGTAAAAATATGCAAAAATATGTATCATAAAAGATAAAACATAAGAGATGATATAAAATATTTAATAGACAGATTACAATAGCTAATGAAATTTTGTGTACTAGTATTAAGCAAAAATTATCGAAAAATGTAATAAAACGAATTTATAAATGTGAAATGTAGCGATAAAATATTTAATTATTTATATAAATATTTATAGGAATAAGAAAAATGTATAATTTAACCAAGTCTATTTCTGGGCTATGTAAGCTGATATTAATAAATACATACATACTAAATTACAAGGTGGTCATTCATTTTCGGAATTAGATTTAACGCATGCCTACATGCAATTTCCAGTCGATGAAGAGTTCAAAATTATTAACGATTGTAACGCACAAAGGCTTATTTAGATGTATAAAAATTACAGAGGGTGTTGCACCAGCACCTGCGGATATCCAAAGCAAAATGGATGAGTGTCTAAGAGGTTTCTAACGGAGTGATAGCGTACCTGGACAATATTTATGTAACTGGGAAAACGTGTAACGGGGGCAGCGCCTTATTCGGCACTGACGTCACTAATTTATTAAGGGGAGAGTAAGAGAGGCACTTTCGCTCTTTAACAATCGGGGAACGAGAGGATAGGTCGAACGAATAAATAATTTTCTTTACTTGGAACATACAACTTAAATCTATTCAGACAAACAAATACAAAATCGGTTACAATAAAGTTTACTTCACGCGCACATATACAGAACAACTTAAACTAACGCGGGAGGACGAATGGCCCGGTGACTAAATCGCCTTGGCCATTTACCTCCTTACAAAGGAAAGAATACGTCGAAACCTCTCTACCGCATTACGATGAGCGTAGCCGGCAAGTGATTGCCTGGCTACCTATCGTTCCTACGCGGCCGCGCATCACCATGAGAGAGAGAAATACCGGGAGAGAGAGATAACCTGACCTCTGTCCTTGGCGATGAGCCGGCAACGGGGAGTTGACCTGGCCGCTGGCTGGACGTCTTCCTCGGCGTAGCCCGTGGTGAACCCCCTGGAAGTCATGCCGTGCATGGCGGCGAGGGCGACACTGAATGCCCTGCTGCAGGTGTTGTCGCCACACGTTGCCTCGTCTCGCCCTGGTCTGGTCACTCCTGCACGTGCACTTCTTCTTCTCTCATTGCGCTGCTACTTCCAACTTCTCTCCTCAACTTTCTTCCGGGAACTACCTCACGGGACTTGACGCATGGTCAGCGTTCGCGCTCTCGCCGGACTCTCCCACCAAGCCCACTCATTAGGCGGCGTGCGACAAAAGCGCTAATTGGTCGCGCGTCACACGCCGGCCCAAACCTGCATAGTGCGTGCATAGACGCGCACTCTAGCATGCTCGCTAACTTTCTCTCTCTCTCTCTCTCTTTCTCTCTCTCTATCTCATAGTCGCTGCGCTCTTGCTTCTTCGGGCGCTCTCAATCTTGCTCGGCAATCTTCGGCGGCTGGAAAAACATAAAGGCCAGTGGTTAGGCGCAATAAATATATGCGCCGAACGCTGACCACGTTGCCATGCCGAGTGATAAGAGGGAGAGAGAGAAGGAGGGCAGACAAAGAGCAAGCGTACTGCTTGCTCTCGTCACAAACGGATGAGGAACATTTAGAAAATTTGCACAAAGTATGTAAAAGATTAGAAGAATGTAATTTAAGATTAAATAAAAATAAATGTTTTTTCATGAAACAAATATTAGATATTCTCGGGTTTGTTATAGATAAATCTGGATTATACAAATCTAAGACGAAAGTAAACGCAATGTTAAATGCTCCTCAGCCAAAAAATGCAAAGGAATTAGAGTCTTTTTTAGGATTAATCAACTTTTATGCAAGATTTCTTACAAATAGATCGATAAATTTGAAACCATTGTACGACATGTTGCATAGCACAATATTCACGTGGAATGACGAATGTACAAAAGCGTTTAAATGGGTAAAAAATGAATTAGCGTCCCCGAGAGTATTAGTAAATTATAACCCAAACGAAAAATTAATATTGGCATGTAACGCATCCAATTATGGCTTATCAGCAATACTTTCACACAAATATAGCAATGGTAAAGAAAGACCTATTGCATTTGCATAAAAAAAGATTACAAAAAGCGAACTAAATAGAAAAATATTAGACAAAGAAGCAATGGCAATTGTATTTGGATGTAAAAAATTTTATCAATTTATTTTTGGAAAATTCTTCATTTTGAGAACAGACAATAAAGCTTTAGAGTATATACTGGGACCACGAAAGGGCATTCCACAGACTGCTGATAATAGACTACAGAGATGGGTATATTTCTTGTCGGGCTTTAGATATATAACGGAGCATGTAAGTTCAAAAGCTAATGCTAACTGTGATGCGCTCTCGAGGTTGCCAATCGATGATAATATTAAGTTAACAAATTCAAAATTCTCACATGTATACTTTTTTGATGAAGGTCTTATCAGTTATGATTATAAAATTCTTGCAAACGAAAGTAAGACAGACAAAGAAATTTCACAAGCAATCAAATATGTAATGCAAGAATGGCCAAGTAACGATACTAATTTATCAGGCGAACTTAAAAGTATATTTGAGAAAAGATTAGAATTATGTGTAGAAAAGGGTTGCCTCTTTTGGGGTTTGAGAGCAATTGTACCAAAAAATATGAGAAGGGTCATAATAAATGAACTTCATGCTACTCATTTGGGCATTGTCAAAATTAAAATGTTTTCAAGGTCTTATGTATGGTGGCCAGGTATAGATAACGATATTGAACGGATGGTTAGAGAATGCAACATTTGTATAATCGAACGAAAAAAACCGCCACATACACCACTGACGACATGGCCTTACCCAAGTAAAGCATGGGGGAGAATACACTGCGATTTTGCAGAACTGTATGGGAAAGCATACCTACTGATAATCGATGCACATTCTAAATGGCCGGAAATAATATGTTTTAATAATAATACAAAATCAGATAAATTGATTTCAGAATTCAAAAATTATTTGCCAGACACGGTCTTCCACTCCACTGTGTGACGGACGGAGGTCCACAATTTCGTAGTGACGAATTTTGTAAATTTCTAGCAAATAATGGCGTAAAACATTCTTTTAGTCCGCCTTATCATCCAGCTACAAATGGAGCTGCCGAAAATAAAGTACAGATTTTTAAGGATAAGGTTAAAAAAATTGTTAAAGGGGGGGAAACTGTAGATAATGCAATTAATATGTTTCTTTTCGACTACCGTAGCATCGACCATTGTACAACGGGTAAAAGTCCGGCGTATCTACTTTATAAAAGAGAACTACGCACGAGATTCGATAAACTACGTCCGTGCGTGGTTGATCATGTAGATGACAAACAGAGAGCGCAAATAGTAGCTAAGTCGGGGAATAGAAACGTAGACTTTCAAATAGGAGATAAAGTATACGTCGATGACCACGGTGTGCGTGCGGAAGTGCGTAAGGAAGCAACAATTGTAAGGCAAGATTCGCCGTCTACTTTTGTCGTAGTAGACAAAAATGACAAACGACAAAAGCGAGACGTAGATCAAATGGTCAGCAATAAACCTACGAAACTACGACGCTCTCCTAGGTTGAACCAAGCTAATAATTAAAGAGGGGGGAGAGTTGTAGTGTATTGAGATGTATGTGTGAGTGGCGCGGCGAGCGCCTGCGAAGTGTGGTGCATGTGTGTACGAGTAGCACGAATGGCCGGCACGCCGCCAAGGCCGGCTTGTAAGTCTTTCTATCCAAAGCTGTAACTAATATAATAGTAAGCATTCCACAATAAAATTTAACTATACTAAACTAATAACACTGCACTAATTTAGTAAAACCTCAATATACAACATATGTAAACATTAGTAGTAGCTTGTATGAAGTTCGGCAACGCAGCAAATACCTCAAATATTCGATATGCCACACATCGTTGCAAATAAAATTATATATTAGGTAGACGACTGAACTGTCATTATTATATAAGTAATAATATGAATATTTTGATAATATGAACACAATATAATATTTTGTATATAATACCAAAACATAGTAAATTTACAATATACAAATTAGTAAACCGTACTATTAACATATATTTGATTTTACTATAAGACAATCACTTCAGAGAAATAAAAAATATAGCATCAGCTACTATATTTTATAAACTATATGAAATAGTTAATTTTACTAAACTGGTTTAATATTATCAATTTAAAAAATTATGTACATTTACTATTTCTGTCTATACATTATATTTAATTATTCTACTGTTACCGTGCGCGCGCGCAACTTCTGCGGACGTCATGATTTTTAAGGAGCCCTGTTACTCAGCAGTGTGACCGTTGAGCGACTTAGAAACCGACCATAAAGGTACACTACTGCGTGGGCGAGCATTTTTGCTCGCCTGCAACGGTTGAGCACCTCTACGAAAACGCCGCCTTTCCGATCGCCATTGGTCCGGGTGTAATATTGCCGGGACATCATTTTTGTTTATTTGTTTCACTTTTTTTTTTAATGGACGAGTAATAAAATTTGTTCAATTAAATTGTCGGTATGATCTTTATATGATGCATCCTATCTTTCTTATTCTAAACTCTCTCGCGCGCGAACATCATAACCTGCACGCCCGGTAGGTTGCTAAGTAATTGGAGCATTTTGACTCTCCAGATCCCCGCATAAATTATTTGTAAATATAGTCGCGGGTAAACTTTCATGGAAAATCCACTCTCCCTTTACATATCATCAGCGAACTGACGACAATATCCAAAGCAGGATACCTACTTATATTCGTGCAAATCGGAAAAAACTTCTATTAAGTGATAAAATTTGTCGATTTACTATATTTTAATTTTAATTTTAATCCACAGCAAGTCAGTAAATGTCCCGTGTCATCCACCATGTAACATCTCAACTTTATTTTGAACGCTTATACTTATTTTATTATTTGTTCAGATTCTTGTGCTAATCATTTATTCGTGTAAAGTGAGAAATTCACGATTTATTAAAATTATCTCAAGTTGACATTAAATTGAAATGTAATTCAATAAAATGCAATTTTTAATATTATAGAGAAGAAAAAAGAAGTTTTGCAAGTTGTACCTGAAAAGTAAATAATAATTTTATTGGAAATTGCTTTCAATAGTCACATGTAATAAAAACAATTGCCAATAATAGTGGGACATATGTCTAAGTGTTTCTGAATTCACTGTGGGAAGCTAAGGCACACAGCATTGGGATATAAACACCTGGCGCTCTCCACTAATATTAAATAATATCACAGATAAGAATTATTCGAATTTTTGCAAATTGTGATGTAATTGGATTAAAACCTAAGCCCTTTTCGAGAGAGAGAGAGAGAGAGAGAGAGAGAGAGAGAGAGAGAGAGAGAGAGAGAGAGAGAGAGAGAGAGAGAGAGAGAGAGAGAGAGAGAGAGAGAGAGAGGAGAGAGAGAGGAGAGAGAGAGAGAGAGAGAGAGAGAGAGAGAGAGAGAGAGAGAGAGTAAAAGTACACGAAGTTCTCTATAGAACAAAAAAATGATCTCAATACGATAAAAATTGACCGAGTTACAAGCATTTAAAAAATGGCAATTTTTCAATGAAAAATGTTGTTGCGATAATTTTGTTGCGGAGTGTATGTATTTCTAAATTAAATATTGAGTACAAAAATTCTTTGAAATATATGTTTAAGTAAAAAATGATTGAGATGAAAAATTCTGGTTTCCAAAGAACGAATATTGCGGTAATATCGTTTGTGATTTCACAAGTTATTTTTAAGATAATTTTAAGCTTAACTTCGTATTTTTAAATATAAACATCTATTTTTGACCCCGGATTCTGTTCCAAGGTTCGAGCATTTCAATATCACGTATGATTAAACGCCCTAATTGTGCTTATTCTAAAAAAAGGTAATTAATTGACCATCCACCATATTCGCCTGATTTGGCTCCGAGTGACTTTTTCTTATTTCTTAACCTCAAAAAAATGGCTTGCCGGACAACGATTCACGTCGAATGAAGAAGTCATCGCTGAAACGAATACCTATTTTGAGGGTTTTCAGAAATCATATTTTTCTGTTGGCTTACAAAAACTGGAAGGCTGTTTAATAAAATTTATCGACCTTCAAAGAGATTATGTTGAAAAACCAAAAAAAATTACATATGCAAAACTTTTTTTTCCTTTCTTTTTGTAAAGACTTATTGACCCCTCCCCGTAACTAAACAAAATGGCACAATGATTAGTTTCAAACTTGCTACCTGGAATGCAAATGGGTTTATGCAGAGACAGTTCGAACTAAGGGCATTTTTAATTAACGTATATATAGACATGATGTTAAAAATAGAAACACACTTTACGAGCAAGAACAAATCACCCACAATAAAGTACACGGGGGCACTAC